ATATTAGATTCCATTACGACTTTAGATATTCTGACAATATTGACATCGCAAAATTCGTAAAAAAAAAAAATTATTATTTATTCTACTAAATATTTTATTTTTATTATATTACAAACGACATTTTTTTCCCACCCTTAATTATTTAGCCGTCCCTGCCGCCTGGAGCAACTGCTTCTTTTACCCCTCCTCCCGAATTCCCGGTTGGGATGTCATTGCCATAGATATATACAACAACTAGATAGCCGTCTTTATATTACAGTTGTGACCAATGTTGAAATCGGCCGCCATTTATAAAGCAGGCAATGTTTACATTTATTTATATACATATATATATATATTTATCGATACATATATACTATGATAATATTATTTTGCAAACATTGCCTGCTTTGTAAATGGGGGGGTTGACTTCGATGACAAAAAGGAGACGGCTATCTAGTTGTTGTATACTTATATATATCTATGGTTAAAAGTTGTAGGCAATAATATATCCCCTGATCAATTAACAAAAATAAAAAGAAACATACTGAAAAATAAGAAAATACATACCCCGCGCGGCGTCCGTGGTGAATCAAAATCTGCTATAAAACTTGATCTTCGAAACACTGCAACGTCCTCACATTTCAGTCTGCTTATGATATATTTTATTCCCAGCTAACAAATCTTCACTGACGAATTAAATACCATTTCTGAAATAACACGCAGCCTGCAGTAAAATGTTCAACAATATTCTTATGACCTAAGCGTCACGGACATTATATTTTATATGTATAATGTTTAATCTGTATTATAAATACTTAACTATAATGTGTTAGTTTGTTTTTTAGAGCCGACTACGGGAGAAATGAATGTTTTGATTTTACAAAAAATGAAACAAGATTTAAATTCTAAAAAAAAAATTGTAGGGGAGTGTTGGCGCCCGTAGGCAAATGCGTTGTAGAAAACCAAAAAGAAATTTAAAAAAAAAAATTAAACTGTAGGAACACAGATTAATGTGTTCAAACTACAATCATCAGACTCATAAACAGAAAAAACAATTGACAATGATTAGCTCATAAGGTATGATAATACAGAGGGCACCTGCTGGTTAACAATATGCAAGTCTGTAAAAGAAACTCAACTACAGTAAAATTACTAAAAAAAAAATTGAAGGGGAGTATTGGAGCCCTAAGCATATGCATTTTAGAAAACAATAAAGAAATTTACAAAAAATTCAACTGTAGGAACACAGATTAATGAGTTCAAACTACAACCTTCAGATTCATAAACAGAAAAAATAATTCACAATGATTACCTAGCTCGTTCTAGAATCTTGCTAGAATACTAGCTCATTAAAGAATTATAATACAGAGGGCAGGGCACCTGTATTTTATCAATATTCAAATCTATACAAGAAATGAAACTAGATTTAAATGCTTAAAAAAAAATTGAATTGTAAATATCATACCCGACCAATTTCCTAATTGTTTTCAAGACTATTGATAGCCAGACTAGTGTTATACCAGTATAGTTACAATACATATCCCATTCTTAGTTTCTACGCACACTACAAATTATGGCAAAAATAATCCTATTGATTGCATGATGCGGCAGGTCAATGAGAGTACCATTTACCATAATATATTTTTATTTTTATTTTTTTTGTTCTACTTTACTATTACTAATTTATATTACCTATTATTATTATTATTACTATTATTGAATTATTATCATGTTTATACTTATATAGTATCTAAATTTGTATTGTCCTGTGTTAAATTGTTGTAAAGGGCTTTGCCCGTAAATATATATATGAATAATAAGAAAATACATACCCCCTGTCCGAACCAAAATCTGCTATAAAACTTAGTCTTCAAAATTCTGCATTTCAGTCTGCTTATGATATATATTATTCCCAGTTGACAAATCTTCACTGACGAGTTAAAGACCATTTCTGAAATAACACGCAGCCTGCAGTAAAATGTTCAACAATATTCTTATGACCTAAGCGTGACGGATACCTATTATATTTTATATGTATAATTTTTAATCTGTATTATACCTACTTAACTATTATGACGTGTTAGTTTGTTTTTTAGAGCGGACTACGGGAGCAATGAATGTTTTGATTTACAATGATGTGTATATGATTCTCGCAAAACCATTTTCTTATTTTGTTGTTATTCAACAACTATTAACCGTCGATATTTAAAATAAAAGTACCTCGTGAGTTGATATAATAGAAGTTAAAAAATATTAGAAATACAAGAAATACATAAGCAAGTTTTGTTTTCGTAGGCATTTCTACAAAATTTATCACAATCTTGATTATTTGCAAAATATTTTGTTGTAAGATATTCAAACAAAAACTTCTTTGTTTACCTATAATATGAAAATGTAATAAAAGTTTCCTCATAAGTATTTATAATAGCAGTTGAGAATCAATAAAGATCCATCGACACGATTTTTTTTATAAGTAGGTAATTAAACTTCAATTTTTAACAAAATATATCAATTTGATAATTTACAAATTACCTACTATTTTGTAAATAAAAATATATAAAATGTTCAACATTCATTGCTTAGGATTGAAAATTTAAAACAATAATTCTCATAAATAGTTCAAACTGTATCCAAAGAATCTAAATAATCAATGAAAAACACAGTTAAATTGTACAGACATTATAAATTCAAATTTTGAAGAAATTACTTATTAAAACAAAGAATAGCGATTTTAGATATTTTGTTGCAATTTAAAAATTGTAGGTATTCGTGGATTTATGAAACTTTTAGAGTATATCATTATAATTTATATACCTACACGATGACACTTTCAAATGTAATTGTTGGGGCAAAAATTGCTTTAAACTACTGTTGTACTAATGCATAATAGTAAAATAAATTACTTTAATCACAATATTATTTATAACTGTCTTTGCTCAGAGTCGTTTTTCGTTTGTTCGTTTGTATTTTTATAATTTATATATGAATTTATTATTATTAATAATTATATTAGTTTATTTTATTTCATCAATTTATTTAATACTATTTACTAATAAATAATATATTGATTAATAATTTTTGAAACATTGTACTCGAGAAAATAAAAAAAAATGTGATTTTAATTAGTTTTGTAATGTAGGTACCCACCTATATGTAAATAATTAATTAATATAAGAATAAATGTTGAATTTTTAGGGACATAATAGGTAACGCATTCATGTATGTATTACACTAGGTATATTTATATATATACGAGTATATCAGTATATTATTCATAAGTGCGGACACGGGAGGATATGCAGACATGCAGTTGACCATTCGTGAACTTTTATGTGTACATGGTTATACGTCCCTACTTCCTATGATATAGATATTAGGTGAGCAATAGAAGTTGAGTAGGTATGCATAGGCGTGACTAGACTTCGTCGGCAGGGGCAGCCTAGCTAATAACCGGCGCTACCTTATTAGTGAACTAAAAAAAAGCCCTATACACCCAATTCGTATTTTTTCAAGCCCCCCTTCACAATGAAATATTTATATAATTTAAAAAAAGTCCAAATCATCTATTTACAATAATAATCTACAGTAACCTCAAAAATATTATTCATCTACAGCCTTGGATTACACCAATACCATCTAACTACAAATCAAAAACAATACAACAATAATATCAATAATACCTAGATGCGTACTGTAGGTACCGTCGTCGCTTGTCTCAAGTCTTTATAGTAGGTTTTTCCGATTTCGGAAGTCAGAAAATCAATCTTTTTAAGTAAATGGTAATTATAACGATACCCACACAAAAATGATGGTTTTTTAAAAAAAGAAATGTTGTAACCATTCCGACATCAAACCCGGTTGACCGACATCTTTTAAAAATTGCAGGGGCAGCCCAGGCACCCTAGGCTGCCACCGTAGACACGCCTATGTAGGTATGTTACACTAAGTTAATAGTTACCCATAACTTATAACGTTGGATTTGAAAAAAAATGACCAGTTATAAATTAAATTTGTATTTTATGACTATTACCATTGATTATATAATACTCAGATAAGCAATGCCATAGGAATATTCGTTGACAATTAATTTCTGGCAGCCACTACGGAGCGCTGTCGGCAACCGCTGGCAGCCGTTAGAAGCGCTGTCGGCATTCGATAACCGCTGGCAGTCGTTAGGAGCGCTGTCGGTTAACACTGATGGCTGACTGGCTGGTAGTCGTTATTCGTTGCTTAAAATATATTAAGAACAAACATATACGTAAACCACGTACTAACCGATAGAATGGATAATTTAAGTCCATTCTAATACAGATATTATATTATATAATAGCAAGATAACAGACTGCATTTGTATCAACGATACCACAAATCGCTAAACTAGACCGGTTTAAAATTATCCTACATTATCCCGCAGACGTATATACAGGGTGTAACAAAAAGAACTGATCGAAAAAAAAAATTGATAAAATTATATGATTAGTAAATAGTTTAAGAAATATACCCATGTTAGCAAATTGCCAAAAATAATACTTTTAAAAAAGTTATTGCGTTCCAAATTAATTGAATCAAAAAAATATTGATATTTAAAAAAAATTGTAAAAAAAAAAAAACTACTTGACTTAGATAAATGTTTTTACTATCCAAATCGTTCTTATAATCAGATTCACAAATTGGCTATTTTGAATTTAATCAAAAAAATTTAAATCAGTTTAAAAATTTTTTATTTTCGGTATTAAAAAATAAAAATATTAAAAATTTTAAAATATTGATTAGAACAAAAGTTATTCCAAAAGTCAGTTCTATCTGTTACACCTTGTATAGTAACTATCATAATATAGGTACATTATACAATCTCAATGAAAAATAATACTGTCATTGTGTTAATAAAAATTGAAACCGGAACTGAAATTAACTTTGGTTGGTCAATATAATATACCTAAATGTACAGAAGACTAGTTGCATCTTGATTTCACTCGTGGATTATTGTTCTGCTTATACATTATACATATGCTATACATATGCTATACATATACATTGCTTATACATATAAATCTAAAACGTTGAAAACATTAATAGTTGATGTTATAAAAGAACTAATAGGTGTAGGACTTTGTCCAAAATTAACAGTCTGTGACCAAGGAACGAACAACCAAAGTGCTCTTAAATTATTGAATGTAAGTGAAGATAAGCCTTATTTTTTTATAGATGAAAATAAAATATTTGCCATTTTTGATGTCCCCCATCTTGTTAAGAGCATCAGGAACAATTTAATAGGTAGTGTTTTTAAAAAAGATGACAAAGAAATTTCTTATACTGATATAATTGATACTTATCAAGTGGACAAAAAAAATAAAAAAAGTAGGGCTCTATTAAAAATAACTGATGCACATATATTCCCTAATTCTTTCCAAAAAATGAGGGTAAAATTTGCCACTCAAGTATTTAGCCATTCAATGGCATCAACAATGCGGACGTGTATACAAACAAAACAATTACAAAATAAAAACGCACAAGATACAGCAGATTTCGTAGACTTCATGAACAAACTTTTTGATTGCTTGAATAGTAGAACTCTTCTAAGTAATAATCCATATAATTGTGCTCTTTCGGATGTGGGAAAAGTGAAACCTTTTTTAATGAAAGCTTCAACATATTTCACAAATATGCATAAATATAAAAAAGGAAAGATGTCTCGTCCTCCCTGTTTCAATGGAATTACACAAACCATTAATGGAATATTGAATCTATTTGAAGAAGAAAAACAAAATGGTATTTTGTTTTTACTTACCAACCGCTTCAATCAGGACATTTTAGAAAATCTCTTTAGTATTTTCCGTCAAAAAGGGGGGTACAACAAAAATCCTACTGCTAGGACTTTGAGAACATCGTTTCGAAGTAATTGTATTTTTTCATTGGTCACTTCAAAAGGAACTAACTGCAAAGCAAATATAGAAGATTTGGATGAAATTCAGTTGCAAGAACAGGTTAGCTTAGTCGTTGAATTACCTCCTCAAGATCCACTATCATCATCATCATCATCATCGTCTTCACCAACACCATCAACATTATCGTCACCTACGCCATCATCATTATCATTGTTGACATCAACATCTTTAAATAATATAGAAATTAAAGAAGAAGAACCGATAACATTAGAAGATTGTTCAGTATTATACTTTGCAGGATATTTGGCTCATAGATGTATTGCACAATTTAACTGTACAAATTGTATCAATTATCTGTTGACAAACAAAAACATTGACGATAAAAACCAATTATTATTATTAAACAAAAATTATACTTATTTAGAAATTCAAAACGATATAGGATTGAAATCACCATCAAAAGATTTTAATAATATAATAAATAAAGCTCTTACTATTTTTGAAGATAAAATTAAAAATATTTTACATAAAAAAAAAATAAAATCAAAATTGATGTCAATTTTTTATAAGGATTTTGTTATTAATAAATGGATTGATGATGAAAATATAATGTGTAAAGAACATAAAATATTTATTTTAGAAAAACTTTTGATATGCAAAATTTTTAAAACAGCTAAATTATTTTCAACAACATCAACCCAGACAAAAATAGCTAAATTAAAAATTTTAAATCATATTTAATCCAATTTTATTTTCATAAATAGTTTTTAAATTTATATTTTTATTAATTTTGACAAATTGATATATTAATTATGTGTATTATATAATCAATGATTATACCTATAAACTATTGAATTTTATATTTTAATTGAAACATTATTATTATTAACATAACAGTATTATAACGTTTAGTGAATTTTTCTTACTTACCTCTCAATTTTATTTATATTACCTGTTATTACTATTATTTTATACATTACAATATTATGACATTTATGGAGTTATCACATGAACAATTTATTAATATTTAATGATTCAATAAAATTTAATGGACCAATTTATTATTATTTGATTATTAATTTTTTAAGCTACCTATTCTATTAGCTCACTATTGATTCATTAAAATATGTTTAGTAATTGTTCATGCAACCCAGCATTAGTGTAGATATTATTTGTTAACCTACTAAATTGTATTTACATTTATATAAATTGTTGACAATTTTAGGACAAATTGTATTTTATATGTTAAAAAAATTTTTATTATAATTTAAATGAAATAATTAATTTGATTCAAATATACAAAATATAGGTACCTATATATAGTGAATAGTGATTCACTCACCTTATACAAGAAAATTCCATTCAATAACTCACTATTGATGTATTGATTTATGTTCTTTAATGTTCAAGTTACAACAGTCTACAGAATATGAGTATTTCCTATTTAGTTTATAAATTATATTTTGAAGACAGTCAGTAAACTCGTGGCCCGTGGTCTGTTGTATTATATAATAATATAATATTAAATTGTCATCAATGGTTATACCAGGTTATACCATTGATATCATTCAATATATTAATTAATAGTGGTCACAAATGCAACAGCGACATCTCGTGAAAATAAATTCAACTATAATTCTAGTCAACGAATATTCCTATGGCATTGCTTATCTGTGTATTATATAATCAATGGTACTACCAGTTAAAACATATATTTCTATAAATTAAACCAAAACATATGTCTTTTTCAAGTAAACAATTTTCATATTCACCTATTAATTACAATTATTCTACGACCGGGGACTGGAAAAACAATTTATAAAATATGCGTCTACATTAACACATTTTTCGTGACATTAAATATTTATCTTAATTCTTAAAAGTAAATTTAAGCCCCAAAAGAATATGAAAACAAATTTACTTTAAACATCGATTCTTTCGGCGGAATCCGTTACGTGTGTTCACTGCGAGGCTGACGAGGAAAATCTCCATAATATACAGAACTTAAAATATTGTGATTGATGAAAAATAAAATTATACGGAACGCAGTAAGTTTTTTGCTCATATCGGCTTTGCTTATTGAAATTTTGGAATTTTTAATGACGACTGTGTCCTCTGCAATGGATTTGAGATTTGCCATGGAATATAAATGATAGATATTATACTAGGTAGGTAAGTGAATAAGATGAATCCACGGATATCATATAGCCATATAGGTAACGCAACTTTTTATGTCAAAGAGATCCGTGCTGAGGAACAATATTTGTTCGTTGAAATTTTATATTATGACAAAAATCAAAATAGTTTATAATTTTGAATTTCAATTGTAAAAAAATTAAATATGATATATTATTTTAATTATTATTTTCGTTTCTTAATTTAATTATTTATTAATATGGTGAATATATATCAGAAGTACAAGCATATTTTTATAAAAGCATAGTCTCTTCTTTCCACTGTCCTAAACAAAATTAATTTACATTTAGTAAATGCTTTCACCATAATATTGAACTAAAATTGTCATTTGTCGTTAAAATAACAAATTTTGTGAAAAATTCAATTTTGGTAGGTAAGTGTTTTGTGTAGGCATAATAAATGTTACATTAAAATTTAAAAAATTCAAAAAATTACATTAATTGGATTATAAATTAGAATATAATTACCTACTACAGTTTCCAGCTTCTACTACAACATTAAGTTATATTATGTTTTTAATTATTAAAATGCCAAAAAAGTAACCTTAAATCCCAAAATAATATGAAAACAAACTTACGCTGAAACATCGACTTTTCCGGTGAAACCTAGCTATAGAGTACTTGACGCCACCGAAGAAACAGCTATCTTCATCCGTCTTCATCTCGTTCCGAACTGTAACTTGAAATTATCGAAATATTTTATGAAAATTACCTGAACATAACGAAATGTGCGAATTTGTGTTAAAACTTACATTATAATATATACGGCTTAACGAACTATCTGTCTATATTGATGGCTTATTATTTTTTTTTCACTAAAATTATTAGAATTGTTAATCGTCGCGGACGAATGTCGACAATTGGCGATTGCCATAGATGATATAAAATATATTTTTTAATATGATAAATCCATAGAACTTCAACACTCAGCACATAAACGGTCTATTGATAAATCGTGTGTTATTTTACAGAAATGATTGTGGTCTGCAATGTATTCTTGTTTTCTATTTCAGTTATTTATCGCATACTAAATTTACCAAACAAATTAGTCCACAAATGTATAGACATCACAAATATATACTATAAATTATAATTTATAGTAGTTTATATCTGTGATAGACATTCTAATATCTATAATGCATTCTCCCGCCGGAGGCCATACTCTATAGACCCAGTTCAGGGGAAGTTAAATTTTTACCTACAAATTTATAAAAAAAGTGGTTGGGGCAAGGAACTTTATGAATTTTAAACTGATAAATAATTTACAAAATAATTTTCTCTTGACTATAAATAGCTCAAAAAGAGTCGAAATAGTTTGAAAATTTTACCATGTATGGAAAATTCAAATATCAATATTTGGTACTTTTTTTTGTTACAGGTGGAAAAACTTATGTAACTTCATCTATTTAAAATTTTTAATCTCAGTTATGAAAAGAAAAACCTTTATGAATTTCTAACTGATAAATAGTTTACAACATAATATAAAATAGGTAGCGCAATTTGTCAAAACTGTTTAAAAATTTTACAATGTACCTAATAGGTACATAGTAGGTATTCTTAAATTAAACTATAAAAATTTAAAACTGTAAATGTCCGTAAACAGCTCAAAAAGAGTCAAATTATTTTCAAAGTTGTATAAGTAGGTACCTAAGTAGATTGTAGATATCGATATGTAATATTAATATAATATAATTATTTATTACCTACCTATTATGTCATTATGATAATATAATTGATTATAATTTATAACTGTGTGTGCATACCTCTATAAACCTTGTTTTACATTTTTTTTGATTATTATATACTTTGTACAGGGTGATTTTTTTCAAAAGTACATGTTGCAATATGAACCAATATTAATTTATATTATTATATAATATAAAATTTGTATTTAAATATTTCCCACCAGAAAAGTAGAAGTTAATAATATTAAATAAGTAAATTTATTAAATTTATAATAAAAATAAAAAAATACACATTGTAAAATCAATACATTCATTACTATTATTTTTGTGGATTTTTTTTTCCTTGGATTATTTTTCTCGTGGCTTTTTTTTCCGCAGATTTTTTTTCTTGGCTTTTTTTTCCGTGGCTTTTTTTTCCTACATTCGGTCTATACTGGGGTGCGTTCGAATGTGGATAGTTATAGAGTAAGTGCCTACTATACATATTGTTTATCTCGGTGTTATATCTATATATGTTAATCATGTGTTATTGACTATTTAGTATATAGTTTAGCTAAGGTAAGCATTAACTAGTTAAAATAGTTTAAGTTAAGCTAAATATTTAGTTTACCTATTTTTAACTTAACTAGTTAATTATTTTATAGTTAACTTTTTAAAGTTAAAAATATTTTTAAATTGTTGGTTTTAATGGTTTTATACATAAAATAATAGTACCTAATCAAATACTATAGGTAATAATAATAATAGTAACGGATGATACAATGATATTTATTGAAATTTCTGTTTCTTGAACATATAAAATAATATCATATTACAGAAAGAATAGAAAGAAACAAAATACTCTTAATGTGAGCCACCTGCCGCTTAAAAATGTAGATAGAACTTTTTTTTAAACGGAGTTAAGTTAATATTTTGTTCATATTACCTTTAGACTAGACTGAGAGTTAAATTTTTTATTTGCTAACTAATAACTTCTAATTTAACAACTTTGTATCCACTTAACTAACATGACTTGGGTTACATATATTATTCATTTTATTTAAATGCCCACCTTTAGCTTTAGGTCCTAGGTAATGAGGTATTTACAATATTTACATTTTCACATTTCCAGTATAAATGTATTATCTACAATAGATACCTATGTAGTTTAATAATATTACCCACTATTTATTTTAAATGTAACAATGTAACAACTAACTACACCTAATTTTATAAGTTTAAATTTATACAAACTACATATTAAGTAGTATGTTCATACTTTTATTGTTAAAATATCTAAAGCCGCTTCCTTACAGTAGTGGTGAACTTTATATGTAAGATTCTTATTTTTAGTTTCTTTATCTTGTCTGCAATATTGAGTGTAGATAACTCTAGTCTCTAAGATTTGAATAATTTTATTGTGCATTTGTGCCTACATCAAATTGTATCATATATAAATTATAAGTAATTATATTGAAAAAGTTAAATAAGATGAACAATTTGGCTATTAGAATATTATTATATTTTTCAAACAATTATGAATTATGTTGTAATTTCTCCTCTACATAAAGGGCATCTTTAGTATGGTATTGTTCTGTATGGTGGCATCCTTATGTATGTTTGATGGCAAGGAGCACACAATCCTTGATGTCTACATGGTATTGCTATGACAGTGGGCATTGAGTAATGGCATATATAACAGCTTTCAGATATGATTGGTTCAACTGAAAATTCAAAGTATGTTAATTAATTAAAGTATATACATTTTAATAATAAGGTGTACTCGTATTATGCATGCATGATTAATGATTATATATTTTTAGTGTAATATTTATTTACTGGTCAAGTCTTCAAGACTAATATATGTATTACCCGGTAATACTGGATGTGGTATATTTTCTTCTTCTTCTTCTTCATTGTCCAGCCCATGAATAAGATGCAATACTAAAAATAAAAGAATATTAGGACTATTACCTATAGTTGTATCTAAGTGAGTATATTAAATTGTACTATTTATTTCTCCATCAACAATAGGCCATCTTTCTAAAATAAATTCCCTGGCATTAACTGGTTGCCGATTCTCAACGACCGATTGTATTTCAGGAAGTGGAAGTGGAAGTGGTTGGGCAATATGCATGGGTCTGACTACTCCAAAATTTGGGGTAACATGTTTAGTACATGCCCAAAAATTCAGATACCGTGTAACGCCCTTCAGCTAACAGCCTAGAAGCCAAATCGAGGTTTCGCTGGTGATCTATCCAGATTTGCCGTTGTAGTTCCCTGACCTGGATACCATCAATTGCCAAATTGTAATCGGCCAATACACCACTTGAGTATGTAATTAACCCTTCTGCAAAATTTAAATGTTTTATAAAACCTATCATGGTAGTTTATATTTTTTTGTTAGACATTTACGGTGCCTTATAGTGATAATTAATTTAAATTTATGAAGACAAAAATGTTTTTATTAAAAACAGTATGTACAAGGTAAATTAGTAAAAATTATAAAATAAATTACTTAAAAACACCCATGGTTCTGGTTGATGCATATTACCCATGTGCATGCGGAGGTGTTGATGGCTAACTTCCAATACGTTGTTTGTCCACCAAATAACATTGTTTACGGACAAGATGTCTGCATTTGGTCCTGTATAATGTATACATTATGTTTTTAAATACACTGTAATTGTTATTCATGATTTCTCAATCAGTGTCAGTATTTTACTATTCATATTTAAATTATTAACAACTAAATAAATTAAAATAAATATGTAAATTTAATTTAAAAAAAATTTGTTCAATTACTTAAACAAAGTTTTTTGTTATTAAAATTGACAAACAATTTTACAACTATGCTAAGTAAAACTAAAATGTTAAAATGTAATGTATCATATTCCTATATCATCTTCTTCTAATATTTTTCAGGTTTAACAAACCTTGGAGTACTGGAAATATCTTTGGAATATTCTACAGCTTTCCACTGGCAAACTATTTTCAACATTTTCTGTGTAAAATTGTCTTATAGAAAGAAAGCCTTCCATCACCTTATCCACAGGCAAAAGTGGTAATGCCATTAGCATATGTACGATGTCATATGCATTTCGATGCCCGGTACATGTTTCTATCATTCCTGTAATACATTTAAGATTGTTTAATATATACTTATTGAACCATCAAAAATATTTATAAGCTTACCAAATTCTCCAACTTTTCTCCACAGAGCTTGAGAGCTATGGAACCAACAACCCCTTATCGTAACGTTATTGAAAATTGCTTTCAATTACACCATTGCAGCTCTCTCAAAATCTACAATAATTGTTTGTGGTGTCCACTGTGGCTCAATTTCTAATAGCCATTTAAATAAGGCATTGTAAGCCCTCGCTGTCTTTCTTGACATCAAAGCAAATGCAATTGGGAATCCCTAAAATACAAACATTTTATAATTTATAAAATGTATACACAGATAGATACCTAAGGTTTAAGGTAAGCTGCAATGATTATCACATTATAATATTTGTATACATGAGTATAATTATTTTTAGGTATAACTCACGGTGTTGAATGTTATACCCATTATAACATATAGCTGTTGACACTCCCGGTTAAATGATGGAGCAGCAGCAAATGTACCATCCATCAAAAACGTTGATCCAGTCCTCAGTATACTGAAAAAGAAAACAAATAGGTTTTATACAGTTATTATAATTTATTTACATAGAAACCTATCAAGATAATTCATTTTCTAATTACATACTACATAGTATTTACTTTTTAATTTCTGGTAATACAAACAACATTGTTATCCCTTCTTCGGGGTCAGTGCCTATTTTTCCCATATAAATAGGTACATTATCCATCACTGGAAGATGAACATAGTCTCCAGTTAATTGGTAATGGAAATCGGTCATGGTTTGTGGTGATGTTGGTTGATTAGATTTTCTATGCCTTTGCATAGTTCGCCGATGAGATACAAATGGACCAACATTTTTATTAATGAATTCAGGCATAGAACTTGTCTAAGATATTAATAATATAGTATAAATGATTTAATATTTATTTTGAATACAATGTAGATATATACCTATCAGAATATCACAACTACGTACAATACCTCTGAATAATTCTGATTATTAAATCGATTTCGATTTACTTACATTGTTTAGTATGGTTAGATGAATGGGAGAGTCAATTATCTGAAGGACATATTAAAGATGAAGAGTTCTTAACCAAAAACACAGCTGAATCATTAAGAATTACTTTGAAATCCACAATAGACATCATTATTTTTATTAGATGAATGTGGTTTTCATTATGTCCTATCTTCTAAATTCAATCAAGTTCGTTAGAAGTTAGTAATTTCCTAAAACGTTATTTTTGTATAATTTTTTTTATATTATAACTTGTATAACATATATTTTAGAAGTTTTTTGGAATCATAAGAAAATCCGCTGGTCCCAATGATTACCCTTCATGTCCGACATTCTTACAACTTTATAGATTACTTTCAGTGTACTCTTTGATTAAGCCTCCCAAAACTGGAAATTGTACACTATCCGAAGGTACACTAAAAATAATAATTTTAATAATATATATTTTTAAAGGATTACATCAATTAATATAATCAAAAATAATTTTTCTTATTTAGATTCAGATTATGTACCCTTAATAAATATGTCTGATTTAAAAGACGCAATCGCAGAAAATACATCAGAAATAAGAGAGAAAAAAATTTCAAAATTAAAAACTTATTTAGACACTATCATAGAAGATGGTCGATGGGATATTGATGACATTTTTTAAAAACATAATTTTTATAACAATGTTACTTTTGAGTGTGTAGTGTACTACTTATCTGGGTAATTTGTATTGTGTTGAAATATTTTATGCTGATAAATAATGTAGATTTATTTTAAGCTAACTGAATAATATAATTTTAATTTGATAGATATTTGGAAAGGAAAGTTAGTAAAAAAACAAATTGTCAAACTTGTTTATTGGGCATCAAAAATCCAGAAAACAGGTGTAATTCTGAAACTGCACAACTAGTCAATTTAAAATCTAAAGGATTTTTGACTCACCCTGATAACAATTTTTTTATACTTATTAGACAAATTGAGAGACATTTTAAATTCAAATTTGGACCAAATTACATATTAAAAAACCTAGAATAACTATTTTAGTTATTTTGTTGTGATTGAATAATATTATTCGTGGGTACTTGAAACTTCGAAAGTGTACTATTATATATCTATGATAGTATCACGGTTTTTGTTGATGTATAACGCGTTATAAGTATCTAATGGATATTGTGATATGATTAATTTGGAATTTATTATAGGTACCTATTATAGGTCAAATTTTGGTTTAGTACCATAGATATGTATATAATATGTCCTATACCTAGACTGACATACCGTCTCCGCTCAGAATCGTTTTTCTTATACAATGATATTATATCGTTGAATTCAAATTTAATATCATCCATTATACAGTGACCCACTTGTAACCTACTGTACAGCAGAGCGACACCCACTTGCCCACCTTTTTTATTTATTATAATATAATATGTATTTACGTGGGTAAACATGTTTTTTTTTTCGATTTTACAAATTATAGTTACTGGTTTTTTTAAATTTTAATAATATTACTTTACTGTATGAATATTTTTACTACTAAATTTTTATACCATTATATTATGTCATGTACCTTCATCGTTGTATTTTTACCTAATTAATTGTTTATTTTAAAAAAGTATAATGTCATGAAGGTACATAATTGTAATTTAACTATTGCATTTCTTACTAATTACATGTCTGTATATAAAAAAATATATTATAATGTGTATTATTGTGATTTAACTATTCAATTGTTTATATAGAACAAATATAATGTTATGTACGTTCATCATTGTAACTTATTACTTAACTATTTCATTTTTAACTAATTATTCTAAACACGGTTTTATGTATTCATTACGGTTTTACAATCACTGTCAATTAATTTGTTTGTTTGTACAAAATATATCTTATCATTGTAGGTACGACTATTTCAACTATGTAACCAGGGCCGGATCTAGGGGGGGGGGGGGAGTCGGGGATTTATCCCCGGGCTTATAATTTTCGTGGCGTATTTTTAAGGTTTTTAGACTTTGGAAATTTATTAGGTATTTAAGCTTAATTAATTGTTGTATAGTCCTAACTAATTATTTCTTTATATATTGTTATTTAGTAACTGATACAAATTAATATAGTATTTTATATATTATAACCTATATTTTATAATATATTGGCAATTTCTTCTGCAACATCAGAGCGTGCATTTAGTAATTTATCGATATTGAATATTGAAAAATATGTAGAAATTGATCCTGAGATAATTTTGGAACAATTCACAGTCATCAAAAAAAGAAAAATGAATTTTATATAAATATATAATATGCCAATAACTATTTTACAATGCATATAAATAAAATATATAATTAAAAATAAATGTTGATATTAATGGTGTTTAAAAATTTTAAGATGATGTATCAGGGGTTGTGGGGGGCTTAGCCCCCCCACGGGTTACTTTTGGTATAATATTGAGGTGGGGCTATAGCCCCCCCTAACATTTTGTGCTAGTTGCGCCACTGCCAGCCCACCTTCATATTCTCTATGAAAAAAGTAAATTTAAGGAATATTAGTAAATCAAGGCACAGTCTCTCTTTTAATATTTGTGATTTCATTAATGTTCAGTATTGTGTATAGTTGGATTGGGAAAACATAAGACAATACCATTTAGACAAGACTGTGACTAACACAATCATGCTTTTACAAAAGTTTATGATGTAGGTACCTTCTATTTTTTGAATTAATCTTCTTTTTTTTTCTGCTACTTTATTGGTGGACGGCACTTTAACTACGGTTCCTCGACCTACAGAGGCAACCTTGAGGCATTTTCTTTTAGGAAATTAATTAAATCCTCAATCATAACTCTTAATTTAAGAGTTTGTAACTAATACAATCATAACATAATATGAGTATAGTACATTTCGTAATTTTTATTTTAATTTACTGTTATATTAATTTTGTATTTCTAATGTAATATGTGCTGATATATTTTATGGACAGCGCTTGCACCATGGCCCCTCGATATAGTAATGAGGCGACCAGGCCCATCTCTTTTAGATAAATTATTAAATACCAACTCAATCAAGTCTTCCAATTTACATTTTATATTTATATTATGTAGATAATTTGGGATAATTTGAAGAAAAATTTGAAATTAAAGAGAGACTGTGTGAAGTAACAAAATATGTGGTGTGACTTGTACATTTGAACACTTGTTATAATGTATTATATTAAACTTTAGTTAATTTTTAATAATGTACTTTAATAAACATTTGAACAATTATTGAATTATTACAATAAAAGTATTTTATAGGGAAACCTGCAGGGTAAGACGAGGACTAGAGGTAAGGTAATGCAATAGATAAAATAATTATCTACCTATATATTTTTAATATGGTGTGATATTATGTCAAATGTCAATATTTGAATATTGTAACAAGAGGTAAGTACGAAATAGGAACTATTATTAATAGAATACCTATTAATATTAGCCATTTTCTAATATAGGTACTTCAATATTTCAAGCATTGAAGCTGTACAATATTATGGACCGTTTTCTTACGAACAAAATTCGTCTAGATTTGGCAGCGGTGGAAACTGAAGAAAATGTTAACCAGAGGTGGATTGGCCTATCCGGAAATCGGGAACCTTCCCGAACGGCCGGTTCTTGTGAGGGCCGGCAGGGCCGCTATAATTATTACAAGATAATTACAAAAAAAATTATATTTTTATAAATTAACCATAAAATATATTAAAAATCAAATACCTATGAAGGTATTATTTTTAATATCTTAAACTATTGCAATTCATGGTAGTATGATATATTTCGTCATTTTTACGTATTTTGTCAATATTTGAACCTTAAATGCTTATAGAAAAAAATTGTGACTGGATTTTTAATTTTTTTCATCTGCCTTTGAAACAATATACTAGGAGCTTTTTATTACATTTTCAAGCTTTTTAACCAACAAATAAAATTTTATTGATATTAAAAGAAAAAAAAAACTGAAAATGTCCGTAAACAGCTCAAAGTAAGTCAAAATGTTATGGTGTATACAGGGGCGGACTGGGAGGTGAACAGCCCAGTATTCTAAAAAACTAAACGGCCCAAGCCCCTTTATAACAGCTTCTTTATGAATACCTACTTTTTCGGGTATAAATTATAAATAGACAATAGCCAATAGGTTCTATTAATTATTATATATTTTATAAGAATCATAAATGTATAATCCTTTTGATATTTTTGATGTTTGTTTGCTATTGTTTTTGTCATTTATTTTATATTCACCATTCATACTCGTATTAAACCAAAATTATTCATTACTTTTAATATAAACTTAATGTTTATAAATGTTTTCTGTTCTCTTTCTCAATCAACCTACAATATTTTTATAAATATTTACAAATGGTTAATGGTTCAATGATTGTAGTTTAGCAATAACTTTCTGGCAGTAGATGTAGTAACCAAATCAGATAAAGAGTTTAAACATTTTTGTGGATAAAACTGATTTTTGAAATTGTAATACAATATATAGGTACAACATATACCTAATAATTATTATTATTATAAACTTATGGTTCGACTATGAAATTATTGTAGCATTGTGCCATTGATTATAGAATAGACTATTCTATAATCAATGATTGTACCAACCAATAGCAGTGGTTTTTAAACTGTTTCATATTTAAAAATAAATTTAAATAAATTTATTAGTATTATTGTCAAATGTTCAAAATTTCAAATGCCCCGGCGGCCCGGCCCACACATATAAGCCGGTCCGATGTGCTACGGCACACTAGCACACCTGGCCAGTCCGCCCCTGGGTGTATAGAAAATGCTAATATAAACATTCGGTCAAAATTTCGTGTACCTACAGTCATATTTATTTTGGAGTTGC